GAGCCCATTTTGAATGCCTAGAATAAGCATGGAATTAAGAGTGTAGCTGCTGTGTCAACTCTGTATTCCTGATCAAAGTAGCTTAGTAGTTAACGTTTACAGAAGAGCAACCACCTCCCCCCATTTTAAGCACATCAACTTGACTGTCCTATACATGCCATTACTAAATCTCATTTTCCTCGGCTGATCTAGTACCAGACTAACAAGACTGTAACTTTCTTTTTGATTACTGATTTCTAATAATAGAAAAGAAACTTAGATTTAGCAGCTTATGCTTATTTGCAATTTTCTATAGTGATTGCAATTTGGTATTCAGCACAGTCTCCCTTAAATTATTCTAAAGAACTACTTGATAGCAGTTGATTCTTCCCTAGCTGTAGAATGGCACAGCTGGAACAGCCACTCTCTATGGGAACATCAACACCTCCCGTCTCTATAAATGCCAGAGTTTTCAACACAATCCCCATCTAAGGCTTTTAAAGAAACTAACCTGCCATAGGATAAAGGTCTACAAATGATTATTTAATAGGCTGAAAGATAGGAAATAAAGGATTTAAATGAATGGTCAGTTTTTTTAGTAGGAGGAGGTCACGAATAAAGTCCCCTAGGGATCTGTACTGGGATACGTACTGTTCAACATACTCGTAAATGACCTAGAAAAAGAACATGCTGCTTCATGACAAACTTCACTAACACTCTAAATTATTCAAATTAATGAAGACAAAGATCGACTACAAAAAGTAGTTAGAGATATGAGCAAACCCCCTAAAATCGGCAAAATTAAGAAAGAATGGATATGGAATGACTCTAATACAAGAGCAAGGAACTATCAAACGTGACTAGCAGATTCAAAACAAAGAAAAGGGAGGTACTTCAAATAAAGAATAGCTAAACTGTGGAAATCCTTGACAGAGAATGCTATGAATACCAGAAGATTACCTAGATACAAAAAGTGACTGAACACGTATATGAAAAAGAATCTATTCAGTATTATGCTATCTAAAAGTATCAGCTCTAGCTGAGGAAATCTCTGAACCAAAAATCACTGGAGGCTGGGACAACATTTTGGGAAGTCATCATTGTATTTTCCATGTCCTAAGACTCTTCTCTAGCAGAGCAGTCTGCCCTGATTTGTCAGTTCTGATGTTCTCGTAACATGTATACATTTGTAGAGTACATTGAAACGCATGGTCATATTTATATTATTACATATTTACGTGTCATTTACATTCTGATCAACTTGATTACAACCCCCTTTTACCCATCTGTGAAACATTCCATTTCTGTGAGACTGTTTTCATTTGTTGCTTTGTAGGTGTTGCTTCCTGCCTTTCAGAGACAAACCAAACTACTTCATAAACAGGGGGCTTAAACAGGAAAGGAGATAATACTGTCTCAAACCCTGCTTCCTGCATCATCTTGAAACCTCCTTCCAACAAACAGGCAGGTGCAAGCACTCCCAAAACTGCAAAACCCACGCTGCTTGATTCTTGGTTAGCAGTCCCAGAAGATGATGCCACAAGTAGTGGTCAAAATTCAGAGTCAGATCTTTTTCCACCCAGTAACAAAGCTTCTGTGGAGACCATCTACCTTGCTCCTACATTTAACTCCTTCCAGTCTTTGGGAAGCACCGCAACAAGAGAGGAAATCATGAAGCCAACACCTTCCACATGTGATAGCGTGCAGGCAGCTAGCATGACTATCCTTCTCCAAGGCCTGGTGAGTTTGCATGGTCCATGTTACGTATATTCTGATTTCTTTGTTCTCCCCACTCCCAGTCTACTTCCTAGTGCTTGCTAATGTGGATCCCATGACAGCTCAGCTAAGCAGGTTAGTCCTTCACAGTGTAATGTGCATTATCAGCATCACCTTTTGTGCTGCAGACGATTCTTACTGTCACCTCAAGTGAGTACAAACTGAATATGCCAAGCAGCTTCAATAGCATTCAGGTGAATACTGTCCAGAGTTTAAGTAACCATTTTAATTTAAATCATCCTATTCAGCAGTAGATGATATTAACAAAGGCAAAATTATAGTAATAAAAAACAGACCACTCATCTGGAACAGGACATTTCAAAGCTGGGCAACATGTTTGTGCATATTCATTTAAATGGTTTAAGGTCGGGGCAGAGGCTATGGCTTACCAACTACAGGAACAAAAATTCCCCAGTTACTCATAGAACAAGAGCAGCTTTGTCAGGGACCACAGCAAGCTTTTTCCTTGACCTTAAGGGAATTCAAAGCTTCAAAGTTACTTCTAAGCATTTAATGATCCTTAAGATTAAAACTGTCATTTGCAACGTTTCCCCTTTTAAGTAGGTCCATAGTCAGAGAGAAGTTCTTGGCCAGAAATGAAAAAAAAAAATAGTTTTTTGGTAGCTGAGCTGAAGAAGTGATACTTGCTTTCACCCTGCCTCGCTGTAGCATCATTCGCTAGTAGAGAATTGCGGTGGCATTCAGAACACCCACCCTGCCGGAAGAGATGTCACTCAGCCAGATAAATTTTAGCATTCTGCGCAGAGCTGTTCTGTAGAATGCAGAAAATAGCTAAAGAGCATCCTAGAGTGAAAGTGACCACTCTGAAGACGCTGGAAGACACACTATATTCCAATAGAGACACACTACTGCCAACAAGAAAACACTAAGTATTTTCAGAATAACAGAGAAGTCACTACCATGGAAGTAAGGAGCAGAGAAGCTTCTGTCTCAAAGACTGTTTTAAAGAAATCTATCCTGCGTGGTCACGAGCACGTGTAAAGGAGACGGTTGGACAGCCAAAGCTGGTTGTTGCAAAAGATTTGCAACACAGTTCAAACCTATCATCCCTAAAAATATTTTTGATATTCATACATTGATTTCTGTTTAGTTAAAATATTAATATAAATCTGAAGGTAAACTAAACAACCCCTTCAAACAAAGCAAAAGCTACACTTCACGAAACTTATACTTGTTTTTGTAAGCGTAGTAGCATTTAACAATGCTCACAAAGTAACAAAGTAATTGCATCTTATCTGAATTCTCATATGAGACAGAACAGTGCCTAGTTATGCACTGCTATCTCACATCAGCGTGTTACCATGTGATAAGTGGCACATCATTGCCGACAAGGACTCTTTCTGTCATGTCTGCCAGCAAAAGCAGCCATGAAAGTTCTCTAAAAAAGACATCAGTGCATTCCTCCACAAATGGGGAATTATGCCAGTCCCACACATACTCCCAGCATGCCAAAGAGGGACTATATTGGACTCTAGTAAATGGCTGCTGGGGTTACTCCAAGCCAGCATAATTTATTAGCTCAGAGGCTGAACACATCTCCAGCTGGCCCAGGGAAGCAGAGGAGGAATATAAAGGTGGTATTCCCACTTGTGTAGTTTGCCCTCAGTGTAATCTTGTCATCAGGTTGCAAGGCTATGCTCATGGGAATGGCGTAGAAAATAAAGCTAGCAGGTAGAAAAAAGCATACACGAATTTTGAAACTAGTAGCTGCTCTGCTTGTAAATCTGCACCTAGATGTGTTACATTTCATCGTGCTGTGGTCTGTTTTAGCAAATGCTTTCTGGTACGTAGCTCAGGCCAACATCAAGCTTCTTGGGACTGTGCCAAGAGCAGTGTGGCACTGCAATGTGACATATACGACTTTGCATTGCACTTAGACTTTCTGAGGATACTTTTTTCCTGCAGGTGAATGGCTGTTCTGGGAAAACAGAACTCAAGCCATTGGTAAATCTATTGGCAGCTCTGCCGACAGTATCTCTCGGTTAAATCTCCCACTTCCCTTCTTAGGGGATGAATCCTTCATAGCTCTCCAGTGACAATCACTCAACTCCATAGCTGTCACCAGCCAGCAGAGCAATTCCACCTCTCTCGGGTTGTAAACTCTGCTCTATGCATGTGCTTTGAGGTTGCTAAAATCAGTTTAGATCACGAAACTTTTGCAGGAGCCTGCAAAGTGCAAGGTTTGTTCAAACTTAATTTTTTTTCCAGAAGAGGTGCCTTATAGCTGATAGTTATTTACAGAAGACTATCCTTTATTTCCCTCCCTGTTTCTTGAAAGGTACAGTTGTTGCAACTGCTGTTACCAATTTTTGCAGTGTGAAATGATTGTTTTTAAAGACCGACCAACTTCTTAAATCTTCTCTTCATGTGACAACCTCAGCTTTAGTTTAAACAAGTTTCTAGTCTTTAACTTAAATATATTTTCCACTTGGAGGAGGGGAATTTAAACACGTTTTCCCTATTACAAATGTGAACAACAACGGCTACAAAACCAGAAGCAGCCAGTGAAGAGAATTAAAGATATATCCTTTGATATTCATAACTTTTTAAAGCTTGAACTGCAGCTTTGTTTTTAAATATCTTTGTGGAACAATGTTTCTCAATATTTTATTTATAAGAACAAAAGGAAATGATTTTCCTGCTCCCTTTGGATTTCTCTTTGATGGAGTGTGTTTCGCCAGCAGTTTCCCTCCATATGCTATGAGAAGTTTGAGTGAGGAATGAGGGCAGAGTTTTTTCCATCTTGGTCTGTAGAATCGAACGATCCCACGACAGTGTTACAGTAGCACTTGAGGGAGAAAGCTTATGGGTTTTAAAGATATGTTCTTACTCTAATATAAATGTAGTCATGATCAAACCCAACCTAATACAACAGCATTCTCTGGAGATTCAGGGTTTGGTACCCACCTCAGCACACAGAGATGATTCTTTGCTCATTTGAAATTAAGCTTTTACACTTATCATTGCTTGAGTATCTAGAGACATCCCCCAAAAGCATCATGCAACCACATTATGTCCTTATTTGTGGTACCATATTTCCCCCCTTTTCCCTTTTGTATGTTTAACCTGCTCAGATTTTTAAAATACAGTCTTTTAATTAGAAATCAGATTAACACAAACAGTTGCAGCAGATATCTGCTGTAAATATCTGCTTTCTCATTTCAGAATGACTATTTTTGACAGAGTCTTTGGTTGCTAAAACATGTACAGTTTTAGATACTTACAGTTCTATCTCTCTTATGTATATTTTGTATTCAGCCATTCCCATAGCATCAACTTTCCTCTCTCATCCCCTGATTCAGTTGTTTCGGTAGACAAAAATAATCCTTTCCTTACTCCTGCTGCAAGACGTTCCTGCTTGCCTTCACCTCAGGGGCTCACCTCTTCCATTTTCTTTAAAGAGCTCAAGGACGAGGTCGTAAACTCCATTTCTTTTTGCCACATGTCTGAATAGGAAAGTGAAGACGTCAGCATCCTCAGTCTCCTGACAGATAATCCAAGAGATACTGCTGAAAAAGCAAACTAGTTTTGGTAGCAGAACTCTCCACATCTCTAGTGGGGGTTGAGGGACATTTCCTCTGCAGAACAGTGCTTGTGTACTCAGTCCTGCTAAGCTTTCTGCTAGAGGCCCATTCGTTATGCATACTATACAAAATACCATGGTTTTGGAGAGATGAGAAATACAGTTCTGGGGCTCCAAGGAAATTTAGGTATTATGGTCCAGGAACTGCAAGCCGTTAATAGGGAGGCGGTAACCATGGTTGATGCCATTCAGCATCTGATTGGATTCTGGACAACGTCCCCCAAGTGCTAAGGATGTCTCTGGTCACTTGTATGACTGTAGATGACTACATTAGCTTCACTTACAACTTTATGCCATGATTCTCTCGCAATATATGTCATACAGGCCATCAGATTTCATTTATAATGTTCAAGTAATTACAACTAGGGAAACAGAGCTGTTCACGTCTCTTCCTGGGAAATAAGTGCACTATTCACATCCTATCCTTTGTGTTTTGTTGCTACGTAAACTACTAGCACGCCCCTGTTGTTCAACAGTTCAGTCCTCAAGAACTCACTGTGCGTATAAAACAAAGGATTTGTGCAGTCATCTCCGCCTGGGTGCTACTTAGCTATCTGCACAGTCATCTCTATTTGTATCGGTGAGATGATCCTGCATTTCCTAATGCTCTGGTCTGCTCATTATCAGAAAATGAAAGACATCTTACCAGCAAAGCACCAGGATAGTACTGGGGAAATGCATAAACGGATAGCATGAAGGATGCTTGCAGGCAGCTATAAGAAATAGCAGGGAAGAGGTGGAAGACAGAATCAAAACCAAAAAAGGACCCAAGTGAAATATCTATAAAAATGTTTGTTGCATCAAGAGGGAAACCACTGCCCTAAACTAGGAAATATCCTAAGCAATATAAAACCTGATTTATAGCAACTCTAAAGAAGTCTCTACTTTTCTAAGTGACAGACTTCTTAAAGCATTATTTTACAATATGCTTTTCATACCGCAAACTAAATAGACTCTGAAGCACTGTATTTTATAATCCAGAGCCTCATCTTCCTTCTACAGCAATCAGAAATTTGCCTCTTGGCAGTTTGCCAGTCTGTCTTCTGCATATCTGTATAAAATAGCTGGCAGCTTCTTCCCTGGCTACAAAACCAAAACAGAATAGATGAATTTTAAATCCTCTTCAGAGTGGACCAAGGACAAAATACTGATAGAGGAGGAGTGGTTGCTAACATCTCCTAGGAACTGTACTGTACCTAGTGAACTGGACAACTAATCAAAACAAATTTTGCTACACAAATCACAGCAAGTCCTCAACCATAACTAAAATATATAGTTTAGTTTAATCCTGCCAGCACACTTCAGATACATACGTATATATATACGTATGTAAAGTATAAGAGACTATGTGTATATTTATTTATACATTTATATGTAACAAGCCTGGAAACTATAGAAACAAGTGTGCTCTGAAGTTCAAGATGTTCTCACTTACAGAGTACCTCCTAAGCTGACACTTAGGACACAGTCTTTGCAGAGTCTTGGCCAGAATTTAAGACTCCTTAAGAAAATTGTTAAGTAAATACAAGTAACTTGACCTTCAGTGAGGTAAAATGCATCCACTGGCACAACTGTTTGCCAGACTACCTAAACCCATCTCCTTCCTATGTAATTCCTACATGACATCCTTCCCTTTAAGTTAATAGTTAGCTGATCAACAAGATACAGAGGAAATAAGGTTTCTGCACACTGCCTAGCAGAGGAGGCACACGGGAGAAATTCTGAACGCTTGACATTTCTTTCGTGGTAACCATGTTTGTGGCAAGTCTTTACAAGTAAAAGGCCCTCCTGCGTTCTAACCACAACTTCAGTGTATTTCACATGCATGAAAGTTCTCCTTGCAATTCTACTGTAAGTATGGTTCATCCCCTGTCATAAACTGTTGTATATAACACTGTTGAGAGCTAACTGAATATAACCCTAGAAATAGCAAAGTTTCAGCCACAAAACAAATATTTCCCCTGGATACGGTGGCCTAAGCACTTTAGGATCTATTAAGAGGAGAGATGTGTCTGAAGAACATCCAGTAACAACGGGGCTTTTGTAGAGAATATCCTGCATCCTGCTCTCAAAACCTTACTACAAATTCAACCTCAAAGTCAGTTGAGAGGACGCAAGGTGTCCTTTCAGACAGATGACGTATTTTGTAAAGGTGCGAGCTGCACTTAATACGAAACGTCATTTGTCACGTTATTTTATATTTTTAGTGCATCTATTACATATTATTCCACGTTGAATATATGGCCGTTCTCACAAAAGGGTGTTCAATACGCCGAGACAGCCATGGCTTTTGCTGTGCCATTTCTGAAAAGGCCTCTACTCCCCGGTAGAGCCCTTGTGCTTCACTTGCATATAAGGCGCTGCAATGCCTGTGGATAGTTAGTCCCTGAAGCTCTGGGGCTGCGTCATGCCTCCGGGCATTTCTGCTTGGACAGAGCGGCCTCTTTGACTAACGGTTTCTGCCCACACCACACTGCCTGTTTCCTTGTTTAAGGCTTTGTTTTGCCTTTCAGAAGGAAAGAAAGAACAACAAGGGGTTAACAATGAGCTTTAGGTGCCAACACAAAAAGAATAGGCTGATGGTGCTGAGGGAGCAGAAGAAGAATATGTGTAATAACAACAGAGGTTCATCGACTGGAGAAACTAAGAGCTAGGAATAGAAGTGGAAATGCCAATAATAGACTCAATGCAGCTGATTTCAAGTGGCAGTTTAAACACCGTCTGATAAAGGACTAATGGGAGAATAAGTGACTGGTGAGGTTTGTTTGGAAGGCAGCAGGCAGAGAGAGAGAGGATGGATGGGCCCCGATCGTCATGCTTCAGTGAAAGACACAACTGCTGTTAATCAGAATCTGTCTGGCACTGATGAATATATTAAAAGCCACTGTGGGCACGTTGTCTCCTTCCCTCTGCCTCCACCCAGACGAGTAGCTAGAATATTTCTGCAGTGGCTGCTGCTGGCGAGGTGTCTAATGCTTTTTGCATTCATAAGACATGATCCCTATGGAAGCATTGGTCTGCCGGGAATTCGGCCTCGTGTCTCTCAAGCCACAAAGGTATTTGAAATAAATCTAGGTAACCCCCATCGAAAGGGCAGGACATGGCGATCTGATGATGTATAAAACATGAAGCTGAAGCGCAAACAAGCACAAAGAAAATTACCCTGATGCTAGCCCTCTTGCTTGATTCTCAGTTAAGGTAATGAGGCAGCCTTGGTTATGTTAAAAAAAAAATAAATAAATAAAAACACCCCACACCCCAAACAGACAGTCTGTTCTTCAGCAGCACACAGAGTTTTCCCTTTCTTATCTTAAAATGATGGCAAATATTTTTGTTCAATGTTAATCTTTCTCAATGACCTAATTTCCACCTCCTCCACAATTTAGGATATTTTGGCAGATACCTATAATTTTTATGAATTAAAGTAAATGTCAAAAAGGAAAGCAGCTCCTCCCATTACTGTCAAAAAGCTGGAAATAAAAAACTCAAGGCCTGAGGTTATAAAGCTCAATGTTTCACTTTGGAACATTGCTAGAGCAAGTTCACTTAGTGACTGCACATTAAAAATGTTTCCAAAAGAGTTTCCTAATGCCCTCAAACCAAATCAAAGGACAGCTCAAGCTCTACCCCAGTTCTATCTTTTCAAATGCTTTCCCCACAACGGGTTTAGCCTGCGTGTTCATTTAAGCACTCTGCCCTTAATGTTTTATACTTTTGCAGATAGATTTCTAACTATAGAAATGTTAAAACAGAACTTTCAAAGGAAAGCTGGTTTCAGACTGAACTAACTGTCCTGCATTGATCCTAAACCTCAAGGCTGGGAAAGAAAGAAAAACCATATAGCAATCAGAGGTCCAGAAGATGCAACTTCGTACTCATTCTTAGGAATCTGATAGGGGAAGAGATGAGTTCTTTCTCATCAGCCCCCTTTATCTGCTTTTTTTTCCCCCCCCTCTAGTTTTTCCTTCCAGCTGTAGAAAGTATCTTCTTCTGTCCCTCCAGACCAGTCACGGCTCCCCCAAACACAAGGAAAACTGCTTCCCCCAGATAGACAAGAGCCTTGCACGCCTTTGACTGCTTACCTCTAAAGGCAGCAGCTCCCTCACTACAAATACTTTCCGGGATGTGTAGTGACTCTGTTCTGATACCTCCAAACGGCTCCCTCGGCTGGATATTCAGCCTTTTTGGTATAAGGGAGGACAAAAGACCTAGCAACAGGGAAAGGAGAAGGAAAGCAAAAGCGCAAACCAGAGAGAGAGATATTTCCCCAGTTAGTGTGACAGGACCGAGGGGCACAAACACAAGCAAGAACTCCAGCTGTCAGCACATCTGGGGCGATCCCTTCCCCTCAGCCCCTTAGCATAGTCTGCCTTATATACAGCCCCTGATTTAAGGCTCCCAGAGGAGGTGACCTCTTGCAGGTCAAATACAAAATTTGGCTACAGGCCCTTAACATATCTTAAGCTGTGTAACTGAAGATAGAAACACTCCCAAAGTTAAAGGCCACCTTTAACGATCCTAGCCTGAGTACAGAAATCCCCACGGGCCTCGGACAGTTCCCAAAGTTAAACAGGTGCTATGTGCCACTTCGGAAGCCAGGGCAGAAATAGCACTTTGGGTTTCCTCAGGAAAGAAGATGCTAAAGACGGGTAAATTTTTGCAGCAACGAGATATTATCTTCCTTCTACATATCTGTAGCTTCTATATGCCTTCAAATAACAGGTCACATTTTTAAACAAAATATGTATTTTGAGATTCTTTCTGTAGTGTTGGACTAAGACTTCTTAGAAAAAGAAACAAAAA